TTAAGTTATTCCATGTGGTGATGCTCCCAGAAGGTAGATAGTATAGCCAATCCTTCGCTGAATCTTTCAACGAAAAGGGAAAGGCTCTCAACTTGATTTGTTCCTCAGTAACCCCAGTGGGTTTCATACTCGAACACACCACATGGAATTCCTTTAAATGCTTGTGAGGATCTTCACCTGCAAGTCCACGAAAAGAAGGCAAAAGATGAATTAATCCAGACTTTAGTTCGAATTGCACATTGGCATCCAGAGCAGGGAAGGTGATGCATAATGGTTGTTGATCTAGATTTGAAGCTCCAAGCTCTTTTAAAGTCCGATTTTGAGCCATGAGTTCCCCTTCTAAATCAGAATTGGTAGAATCGGTAGCCAGATCACTAAACTCCAATTTGCTCAAAGCTTGTTTCCTCCACCTGCGTATAGTTCTTTCAATTTCCGGATAGTACGGCAGGATTTTTTTATTAGCAGATCGAGTTATAGGCATAAAAAAAGAAAAGAAAATATATTGCAGCAATTATGCAAAAGTAACGAAAGAGAAGATTTTTTTTAAAATTCTTTTTTTTTTTTTGAGACAAATGAAAAATAAATAAATAAATAAATAATTAAATAAACACAAAATAAGCTAGAAAATCTCCCCGGCAACGGCGCCAAAATTTGGTGAGCTGTCGTAGGCTCCCAAATTAAAACCTTACAAACGTAGTAGCGGGAGTAAGGATCGATCCCACGAGGAGTAACTAGTTTAACTTTTGTGCTCAAATTAAAGGTAGGGGGTTTGGAATATATCGAGAATAAAGATAAAATAAAAGAGAATTTAAATAAACAAGAAATTTAATTAACGAATAAAGCAATGAAAATAATATATCGAAAATACTTATAATAAGGAACCTTGGTTAGTAAAGATCCACCACCGGAATTCAACACTGATCATTGATTAATAAAGTAATTAATATGCAATTGAATATTTGTCGTGAAATTATTTCATTTCTGTTTTCCCTTAGTTGTAGGTAAATAAAGCACAAGCGGTTTAATTACCCCTAACTACTAAATAACCTAAGACAAGCGCTATAGATTTAATTTAATAGCAGCAATAGGAACTAGGAAAACCGACAAACTAAATAACACAAGCACAAGCGGTTGCATTTAATTTAGGAAAATATTCTTCCCGAGTCCAATTATCACTAAGCCGTCAATAATTAACCTCAGTTGCTACTGAATATTAGAATAATTTGTAGCACAACATTATCTAATATAGCAAATAATTATATCAAATAACTTAGAAGAATATTTAATACCCAAATGCATAAAAATTATATAATAAAATAAATAAATAATCTTACAGCATAATCAATTCCGGGGCTTCAATTCACTAAACCAAGCTAAAGAAATTAGCCATGAATGGACATTGACAACAACTTTAAAGAATAATCGAGAGGGAAAGAATGAACATTTTACAATAGGAAACTCCTGCTATTTATAGCATTCTAAAAATAGGTCAAATGAATTTCCACCACTCAATTCCTAATTTCTTGCCTCACGTCCGGAAGACATCTTCCACTTCCGCTATAATTTTGCTCAACCTGTACAAAACAAATTGAGGGGAGGATATATTAGTACATAATGTTATATATATATATATATATATATATATATATATATAAAGTGGACCTTTTATATCTTTATAATATATATATATATATATATATATATATATATATATATATATATATGTACTAGTACGTACTATATATTAATAGTATATTCTATATATTATATATTATATTATATATATATGTTTAGTTTGTGCGTAATATATATATATATATATATATATATATATACTATATATTATATATATTATATATTATATATTATATTATATATAAAAAGAACTAATTATTAGATAATATTAAATAACCAATGCAAAATTATTATAAAGATGTACCTAAAATATGAGTGTAAAATGTGTCTATCAACATACCAAACAACATGATGGTCAAAAATTTATAGTTGAAAAAGACAAACAAATCCATGTAAGTTTAATCTTGATTTTCCTTGAATGTATATGAATTTTTATAAAAATTGTACTAATTCTTTAAATTTTTGCAGGATCAAATTGCATTGCAACGGGAGGTATTAACACAAAATCGAGAAGAAGTAGATGAGAGTGTACTATGATGCAGTTGGCGGACATGATAAAAAAAGAAGAGTTTATGGACTTGGCTCATATGGTACATTCATTCGTACTCCAATAAATGCTAACACATCGGGCAATATAGAATCAACCTCGCAGCCATCAGAGAATGCTAATTCTGCTAAGGTCCTCGATGAGATTGAGAATTTGAAGGCTTCTATGGTTCTTATGCAGCAAAAATTAAATGCTCTTCAGAGTGAGAGAGCTGGTACTTCATCATCACCCTCATCACGACCGAATTCACCTTGATTTAATTTTTCTTTTATGAATTACTATATTGTTGTTTATACATTTATTTGGTATTTGGGTACAACATATTATATTGTATTTTAGTTTGGACATTAACATTTTAAATACAAATATTAGAATTTTAACAAAATAATAATAATTACAAAATATTAAAATAATAATTTAGCAAAATTGCGATGAAATATAATTTTAGCGATGGAATATTTATTGTAATTATGGCGACGAAAAGATTTTTGTCATCCGAAACGCGACGAAATCACGACAGTGATTAGTTATGTTATTATTTTACGACGAAATTTTGTAACGGAAAACAAATTTTGCGACGGAAAATATAGCGATGGAATTGCTACAGAAATTTGTTCTGTCGTTTTCTTACGACGAATTTGTGCGACGGAAGACAAAATTTGCAACGGAAAAGTTTGCGACGGAATAGCGACGACAATTTGTTTCGTCATTTTTCTACGATGAAATTTTATGACGGAAAAAAAAAATTTTGCAACGGAAATGTTAGCGACGGATTCGCGACAATAATTATTTCCGTTGTTATCTTTCACAACAAAAATATGCAACGGAATATGAGTTTTGCGACGGATTATTTTATCACGCAATGGCGACAGAAAGAAACATTTCCGTTGCCAAAATCGCAACGGACTAGCGACGGAATGACTTACGTCGCCTACTTCACGACGAACAATTCCGTCACTATTTTCTGTCGCCATCGTTCGCGACGGATTATTTCCGTCACGAATTGAAATACGACAAGCCTTGAGACTACGGAATGGATTCCGTCGCAAAAATGACAAATTCTGTCGCAAAACGTGATTTGCGACGGAATTTCACGTTTTCGCGACGGATTTTTTCCGTCGCGAATCGTGATTTTTCTTGTAGTGAAAGGGTATGGACGTAATCTGGTTTAGATGTTGTCTGATGTTCTAATTACGTGTCCCTTACCCTCAACCAGAGATATATATAGTGAGTTGCTGATTCAAAGAACGGTTAACGAATACACTCTACATCTCTTGAATCCAAGAAAACACTCATTGTTCTAAATCTCTCTCTCTCTCTGTTATTATCTCTTCTCAAGACTGAAAGTTCATGGTGATTTAAGAAGATGAACTTGGAAAGAAATAATTGTGTTTAAACAGTGGACGCGAATATCACTCAGTTGTGGAACAGCGTAGGAATGCGTCATTGAAGCAGACTGCATTAGAGTTAGCTCTCCATTGAAGGGATTTCATGGACTTCTGGATGCATGGCTCTCCGTCTTCAACAATCCACTAAATTCTTGTAGACTGGGTATTGACCTAGTGTGGGGCACTTGGGTGAGATCGTTTCTCTACCTTTGTACATTGTACTTGTGAGTTAGTGGATTGGACGCATCGGTGATCGTCCCCCAGATGTAGATACACATTGTATCGAACTGGGTAAACAAATCTCTATGTTGATTTACTTTCTGCTTTAGTTTTCCACACTTTAGCTTTATGTTGGTTTATCTGTTTGATTATCTGGTTTTCTGTCTATGTTAGGCTGTGCACCAACTGTTTGAAAGAAAGTAGGTCAATATAGTAGGTTATCATTTCACACAAAATCACAGTCTGCTCTCGGCGTCTCGGAGCACGGGGCTCATGGCTCCGGGACCTTCGTGAAAGCGATGACACTGCGGGCTGAGCGTTCACAGTCCGCCTCGGCCCAAGAGCCCAACTGTCCCAGTGCGGATGTTATCCGGATCGGCCAAGTCCTCCCCTCTTCGTGCTGTTCGTGTCGGCCTCTGCTAGTCTTCTCGCCATCTCGCCTCTCTAATGGCTGAGGTGAGTTAACCTCTTCATCTACTGGCGCCTCAGGTGCTCGGGGCACGTGAGTGCTTGGACCGTTGTGGCCCCTCATAGGGGGTGGGGGCAGAGGTGCTAGAGCACCCCTCCGGATTCCTTCCGCAACGCGATTCAGTGCGGTTGCAGCCTGTTCTAGCGCTTCCGCCTCTTCTTGGCGGCCCGGGACCTGAGGTGGAATCGGCAGTGCCGACCCACCCTGACGGTGATTGTTGATGATCCGATCCCTAAGGTCCGCTACCAACCCTTGTCGGTTCCCGTTGATTCGATCCCTGAGGTCCCCCGCCGACCCGACGGGCAAGGTTTGTCGACTCGTAGTTGCCCCATTGGTGTGGTTGGAGTGGGAGGGGTTGCGTGAATCATGGGAGTTACGGGTGTTCGATCTCGATCTCGTCATAGTTAGGGAAAGAGAATAAAAGAGAGAGCACGCTTAAGCTTGTACAACAGCACTCAACAAGAGCACCAATGATGGATTATATTAACCCAGGGGTTCGAATTATATAACCCGAATATATGAATGAATCGTGATGAATAAGGATTGAACGAATAAAGAATGTAACAACGATAATAATGAATGAATATAATAATGTTGTATTAACCGTATATAAAGTGTTAATACAAAGGTAGGGCTTATGTAATAACAAGACAAATTTAGATAGAAAGTAGAAGATGTCTGAACAAGACACAAATGAGGGTTTTTATACCCCCATGTCACCCCAACAACCCCGGAGGACGCGATGGGAGCTGCCTGGATCGCAATTGTCACCGCAAGACTCAGTCAACACGATGACCCCGTCCCTTGGCTGAGCCCGAAGCTCGGCCAAGCGAGGACCATGAGGTGGCTCACCCCAGAGGAGGTCGACCTCACGCTAGCCGACCCCAAGGTGGCCGACCCCGAGGTGGTCGAGGACCCCGGGGTGGCGGACCCCTCCATGGTCTGCCCGGTCGCGTGCATAGTCATATCGGGTCCCGGGTCTGATTCGCTCCGTATTACTTCACTCTGGGTCCATTCATAATTATTCCATCAAAGGACTACTTTGCTCTTATTATTATTACTCAATCTGTCTCATTTTATCTGTCCTACTTACTATTCCTGGGTCAAACCAACTCTTTTTTTTTTTGTTTTGTTTATTTTCTTTAGTATTTTTTACTCATTTTTAAATTTAGTTTTTTTTTTGTGTGTTTAATAGTAATTTTAAATTTTATATACTAATATTAAACTTAATATTATGAAAAATTGAATTAAAAATAAGTTCAGTCAAACATCGTTAATCGGACCAGACACATAAAATGTGATGGAGGGAGTATTACACAATGGTATTTTAGTCTTTATTCACTTTTCCCTCACTAATTCTATTCATGTCTACCAAACAATAGAAACTTATTCTTTACCACCGAATTATAGTTCATTTCATTCATATATAATTTCCCGCTTCCAACCAAACACCCCGTAATACTTAAATGTTATATGTATAGGAAAATAATATACTGTCTCTGGAACCCATAAAATGAAAATGTTCTATCTAAATTTGTCGTATTAGGGAGTTTGATTAATGAAGTAAAATTCGGGAGTCAACGTAACAGAACTCATGTTATATTGTTGAAGTTTGATTAATGAAGAAAAATTCAAGAGTCCGTTGAACTCATGTTATATTGTTGATCGTTGTGTTGCAGTGGAGACCCAACAATGTTCGAGGCATACTGGAAAAAGATGAGCGAGAGGAGTGCAGTGACGCTGGCCGGAAGCCAGTCACTAAGCTACAATTCCGACACTAAGAACCTGAGTTGGTACTTGGAGCCCAAACTGGAACAAGAGATAAGGAGGCTCCACGCCATTGTTAGCAATGTGGCAGTTGAGGAAGACGACCATTATTACATCGTGGTGGGAACCGGGTCGAGCCAGCTTATTCAGGCGGCGTTTTACGCGCTTTCCCAGCCGCCGGACGCCGGCGATCGCCCCACAACCGTCGTTTGTGCGGCTCCATACTATTCCGCATATCCTGAGATTACCGACTTGGTGAGATCGAGGTGCTTCAAATGGGGCGGAGATGCCCGGAGTTTTGAGAGAGATGATGAGCCATTTATCGAGCTGGTAACCACTCCAAACAACCCCGATGGGGCTATCAGAGAACCGGTGGTTAATAGACCTCATCAAGGAAAGGTTGTGTATGATCTGGCTTATTACTGGCCACATTTCACCCCGATCACCTCTCCAGCTAACCACGACCTTATGCTCTTCACCATCTCAAAGTGCACTGGCCACGCCGGATCAAGAATCGGGTAAACACAGCTTATTTTAGAATTTATAATTTATTTTTGAAAAAAAAGAGTTAAATAGATTCTTGAATTTTATTTAAAAAGTCAATTAGACCATTAAACTTTTAAAAGTATCAATTAAAGTCATAAACATATTATTTTAGATCATTGAAGCTCATAAACTAGTTGGTGACCTATAATTCCACGTCACTACAGTTCCGGTGAACCTCCGACAAGTTTCCGGCATCAAATACCGACGACCGAACTGTCGCTGATCGCGTTTGGAGAAGGAGACCAAATTGGTTGCCTTCTTCAATGAAGGAGTCCTTCTCCAAACGTGATCAGCGACCGAATGCCGAAAACTTGTCAAATGTTCGCCGAACCCTAGTGACCTGCAATTATAGGTCACCAATCGATTTTTGAGCTTCAATGCTCCAAAATAACATGTTTATGTGTTTAATTGTAATTTTTGAAAGTTTAATGGTCTAATTGACATTTTGAATAAAGTTCAGGAGTTGACATTTTCCATTTATTTTAAGCTACAAATAAGGTAGAGCAATGCTATAAACCCTTCTTATTTCCCTAAAAACTTCCCCTCTTGATATGGCTTGGCTAAATTTATCTTTTAATTAGTGGTGGGGTCAACCAGTTCATTAGCATAGCTAAATTTAGCTTTTAATTAGTGGTGGAGTCAGCCAATTCATTGGCACCCAATGAATGAAAGTCATGCTATAGAAAAAATCAAAAGGAAGAGAGTATTTTTCAATAAGTTATAAACTTTGTTGGGCAATAGCTTATTTTTATACTAGTAGCTACTGACTTTTAAGTTTTTAGCTTTAAGTTAGTTATACCTAACAAAGACAGAATTGATATTATCTGAATTCTATCTGATCTGCATGCAACTGCAACTGTATGTAGTTGGGCACTTGTGAGGGATAAAGAAGTGGCAAAGAAGATGATAAAATTTGTGGACGTTAGCACGATTGGAGTGTCAAAAGATTCTCAACTCAGAGCTGCTAAGATCCTGGAAACGGTTTCTGACAGTTGCTCAACTGCCGCCGACATTGAGAACTTCTTTGTGTTTAGCAGGAATATCTTGAAGGAAAGATGGAACAGGTTGAGAGAGCTTGTTAAGGTTGCTGATCTCTTCACCCTCCTAAAATACCCTATTCAGTATTGCCGTTTTGCCAAAGACATGGCCGACACCATTCCGGGTAAGACAATACGGGTGTTTGGTAAATAGTTGTTAGCTGATTGGGTTAATAAGTTTGATTAGTTAATAATATTAGCTAATTGTAGTTAGATGTTTGGTAAATTAGTTATTAGCTGATAGCTGATAGCTGTTTGTTGTGAAATTAAAACAGCTTTTGGGTGGATTGAGTCTAAGGGTGAGGAGGATTGTGCGGAGCTGTTGAAGAAACATAAGATTCTTGGTAGATGTGGGACAAAGTTTGGTGTTGGCAAACAATTTGCGAGGATAAGTTTGGTGTCCAAGGATGAGGAGTTCAACCTCCTTTTACAAAGGCTATCAATCATCCAAGGGACAGATCTTAATCATTAATAAAGGTAATGGCAAAAAAAATCTTTTCTTATCATCTGTTTTTATATACTTTCACGATCTTTTCCAATTCAAAGAGTCAATGCGTCACGTTATGAAAATACATTTGAAATGGTAACAGAGGTGTCATAACACTACCATTCCAAATGTGTTTTCATAACCTGAGACATTAATTCTTTGGACCGAAAAAGATTGAGAAAATATATATACACATTTAAGTGTTTTTTTTATGGGTATAGAACTCTAACAACATTAGATGATTTGATGTCGCATATGCAGGAATGGAGTAATAGGAATGCTGCTGACATAGAAATTCAAATAGTTTAATGTGAAGGTGGCTCTGGCGGCTTGAAGTTTCTTTTAATATTTGCAATTGTTTTGGTTTTGTGCTTTTGGTATATGGATTTAATAGTTTGCTATTCCCATTTTATTTAGACTCTTAAAAAGTTAGAACATCTTTTATGCGAAGGCAATCTTGTATTATGATTTTTAAAATATTTAGTAACCTTTGTTGGTTTTTGTTTATTTATATTGGTCCAAGTTAAATTGAGTAAAAAGTTTTGGGAAAATTATGTTGTGAACCGTGTCCACCTTGCAAAATAGACACGGTTCCAAAACTATTCATAATTATAAATATATAGTTCAAAATTTATGAATATATAGTTCTATAATTATGAACATTGAGTGGTAAACATAATTATGAACATATAGTTCTGTAATTATAAATATAGAGATTCAATAATTGTGAATATGAAGTTAAAAAATTGTGAATATATAGCTTTATAATTATGAACATATAGTTTAGTAATTATGAACATAGAACCGTGTCCACCTTGCAAGGTGGACAAGGTTCCACAGCATAACGATCCTAAGTTTAGTGCACGGGCCGTGGGGGTAAATCTCAGAAGGGCTAGTGTGAGAGGGCAATAAGCTGCCCAGTCGTTATACCGTGGATCATGGTCTACAAAGCTTTGTGGACCATGGTTCAAAAACGGCGCCGTTTTTAAAGTAAAAAAAAGTTGTCGTTACATTTTAACAGAGCCTGTATTTTTTGTGTGCGCATAACAAAATAAAACTAGAGTGTATCTAAAATGAAACTGTCCTACATATTGTTTTTATATTATCAAATGAAATTATACTTTAGTTGTGTTGAAATGAACCGCAGTATGTATAAAATGAAACTGAAAAATGTCAGTATTTTGAAACTGAAAAATATTGAGTGTATATTGTCGAATAGAACTGTAGTTGAATAGAAATGATATTGTATTTGTGTTGTAATGAAACTACATTGTATATAAAATAATGAAACTGAATAACAGTTTCACATATTTGAATGTATATTGTCAACTGTAGTTATATCGAAATTATTGTAGTTGTGTTGTAATGAAACTACAGTGTATACAAAAATGAAACTGAATAACAGTTTCACATATTTGAGTGTATATTGTCCAATGAAATTGTAGTTATATCGAAATGATAATGTAGTTGTGTTGTAATGGAACTACAGTGTATATAAAATGAAACTGAATAACAATTTCACATATTTGAGTGTATAATGTCGAATGAAACTGTAGTTATATCAAAATGAAATTGTGGTTATATCGAAATAAAATTGAATACGTTATACAAACAGAGCTACTTTACGTGGAACGAATAGTTTCATTAAAAGAAACGACACCGTTTTAGACCATGATCCATGGTATAATTTGCCTAAGCTGCCCTTGAGTCTTCCTGTTCGTAGCCGACTTGAGGCGTCGCTTGAGCTCCTTGATCTCCCTTTTCAGGGGGTCGACCTCCGTCATCGCCTTCGACCAGAAGTAGAGGACGGTTAGAACCCGAGTGAGCTGTGTGGAAGAGGGGTTAGTCGTACGCAGGCGAAGTGTAAGTATTAGAGACCGGGGGCACCTACCTGAACCAAATCTTGAGCACCTTGCTCGGATATCTGCTCGGGAGTCTAGTCGAGCATATCATCGTCCGAAGGGAGAATGGCATTGATCTTTGCAAGAAGGGCTGAGGGGCGCTCCCCGCCCATGAGGGCATCCATTAGTGGAATCTGCGCTGGGGGGCTTTAACGCCGAGCGCGCTTCATCGAAGCCACCTCCTCCACGACAGCTTCTGTGACCTTCTCATTAACCCTCTTGCTCGGAGCCCGGATGAGCTGTAGCTCGGGGCCCGATCCAATGGTCAAGGTGGAAGTGGTCGTTGCCGTGGAGGTGGCCAGGGACACAACGACTGGATGATCGCCCTTGTAGAGGTTGGCTCTAATGAGGCCGGTGCGCTGGCATTTTTCCTTCCCAAGGCGGCCTTGGCGCGCGGCACTCGGATAGTAGAGGGTGCGGTGGAGAAAACCCGATCCATTTTCGTCCCTGCACGACAAGAGCAAAGTGTTGGTTAGTAAGGTGAAACAAGTGAAGTAACCCGATCGAGGGGACTTCAAAAGCTTCATTGGTAGCCTGAATAAAGCTCAAACCTTCGGTGCCATGGCTGGGTTACGGAGGAGGAACGACGATCGTAACCGCGATCAGCTGAGGAGTGTACTTCTCCGCCAAGTCGTATCGTGGAGGTGGGAGCCGAGCTTCCGCATAAGCTTCAGCCGAGCAAACAGTGTTGCAAAAATTGCGCCGCCCGGCCGCAGCGAGGAAGGCTAGAATCGGCCTCCTCCACGGCCGGGCGGCTAGGAGGTCACCTAAATCGCCTAGCCGGTTGAACCGTCCAAACCAGTTTTTTTTTTTTTTTTTTTTTTTTTTTGGGTTATTGCCAATTTGCTTAAGCATCAAATAACAAAAATACCCCATTTTACAATACTAGTGTTGACTTGTTGAAGTTTCTACTAGTTGCAAAGTGTAGAAACTTTGGTAAGGCATAACTTTTGACTTGGTTATCCGTTTTGGACAAAAAAAAAATTGAAATCGCGTATTTTTCCGAGATCTATCCACGGCAAATGCGGTTTGCCCCTCCAATTTATAAAATAAAAAAAAAATGCTTCTTTTGCTCTTAATTTAAATTTTTTTATGTACTTAGATGATTTCAATAATATTTTGAACAATTTTACAACCACGTACGTAAATAGTTTGTAAGAAAAAACTAGGGGAACCTTATGTTTTATTAGTGAATTTTTACAATTTTTTGTTTAATTAAAAAAAAATGGGCGCTGATAAGTGTTAGACTATGATATTATTATAGACTATGTTATTAATATATATATATATATATATATATATATATATATATATATATAATTGGTTATGTAATAATCTGTTAGTGATCTAGTCTCTAGCCTATAGGATAGCTCTCTCTCTGTGAGAGTATTAATGTAACTGTGATTTTGTTATTCAATCGATAATCTTTTCCCAAACTCATCTGGTATCAGTTAGCCAGTAGGGATCTCACGTTTTTTTCTCTCTCCCCTTTTCCGATCGACAATGTCGTCCAGTTCCGAACGCACACTCACGACCACCACCATCTCCTCCCCAAACACCACCCCAAACTCCCTCCCTAGTGCGCACCATTTTGTGTCGCTTAAATTAACCCATCGGAACTATTTATATAGGAGAACCCAAATAATTCCCTTTTTACGAGGACAACGACTGCTTGGCTTCATAGATGGCACACGGCCATGCCCTTCTCCGGTGATCGAACTGCCGGCCGGCGACCAAGCAGATGCGGCGTCTGTCGTCGCGAATCCGGCACACGAGGCTTGGATTGAGCAGGATGCCTCCATTTTATCTCTGCTCATATCCTCGATCTCGGAAGAAGTAATGTATCTCACCCTCGACCAGACTACCTCCCGTTCGGTGTGGCTTGCGGCAGAAACGGCGCTCGGCTCCTCCTCCCAAGTCCGATGTCTCAACCTCATGGGGTAGTTCCAAGCGCTTCGTCAGGGAGATAGCTCCACGCCGGAGTATCTCGGCCGTGCTCAGCATTTGGTGGAGGATCTCGCACTGGCCGGGCGACCGCTAGCATTAACGGAGCAAAACCTGTATGTCTTCCGGGGGTTGCGACCGGAGTTCCGGTCTATGGCGGCCTCCCAGGCGGTCAACGGTACGCCGGTGACGATTCTGCAATTGGCGGATTATTTGCAGGCGCAGCAGTTCATCCACTCGGATGACTTTCCGGCCTATCAACCTGCAACGGCGAGTGGAGTTCCCTCGGCGTTCTATGTCGGTCGCGGTGGACGGCACCAAAACAGTGGAGGCCGTGGTGGTCAGTCTCGCGGAGGCGGCAATCGCGGCGGAGGAGGCCACGGAGGACGTGGCCGGAATGGTGGCTTGCGCTGCCAGATTTGTCAAGCACAAGGGCACTCGGCGGCCTTCTGCTACAAGAGACACTCCGAGCCACCACCTTCGGCGCACGTGGCAGTCGCTGAGATGGAGGCAGTGCAGGCGCAACGTCGGCAGTCACCTCTTGGCTGCCGGACACGGGCGCATCCACACACGCTTCGCCGGATCCCGGAGTTTTCTCGCAGGCCGAAGAATATCACAGTGATGATGTTCTGAGAGTGGGTAATGGCACAGGTTTGGCAATCTCGAGTGTGGGTCATGCAGTTATTCCTTCGGTCATTAAACCTTTAAAATTGTCTCGTGTCTTACATGTCCCTGAGTTGTCGGTCTCATTATTATCTGTAAATCGTTTTACAAAAGATAATAACTGTTACTTCAAATTTCATCCTAATTTTTTTTGTTGTGAAGGATTCCATCACACAGGAAGTTCTTCTTAAAGGTCCGATCTCGGGGGGATTGTACACGTTGTCAGTTCCGAGTCCACACTGTGCATTCGTTTCTGCTTGTGCCTCTTCCACAATCTGGCATCAGCGTCTAGGTCATCCCCACGAACAAGCCCTAAAACGCGTCTTACAAGGATGTCCGGTTGAATTCAATAAAAATGTAACTCGTAGTTTATGTTCCTCTAGTCAACTCGGGAAATCCTCTCGATTCCCGTTAGATAGGGTAGCTAAATTTAGCAATAATATTTTAGACCTTATCTACACTGATATTTGGGGTCCCGCACCTGTTCTTTCTGCGGATGGCTCACGTTACTTTGTACTCTTCGTAGATGATAATACCCGCTATTGTTGGTATTATCCGCTACAACTCAAAACCGATATATATAAAATTTTTGATGTTTTTCGGGCGACGGTAGAACGTACGTTTTCACGTTCTATCAAGTCCATTCAGTCTGATTTGGGGGGGGGGGGGGGATATCAAAAATTACACAAAGTATTTACCTCCTTAGGGATTGTGCATAGGCAATCATGTGCCTATACGCATGAGCAAAATGGGCGTGTGGAACGCCAGCATCGGCATATTGTCGAGACCGGTCTTGCCATGATGGCCCAAGCCTCTGTTCCACAAAGATATTGGGATCATGCTTTTGAAACAGCAACGTATCTAATAAATCGGTTACCGTCATCCTCACTCCAGTTTGACACACCTCACTACCGGTTATATCA